TTGATTGACACATAGTGTGTCCTTTTCCCACGCAACACAGCACGGGTCCTCCCACACTGCAGGAGAAAACCCCACGGACCGGCTCTCTATTAACACTGGTCCATCCTCCTCCGCGGAAGCTGCCTCTCACTTGACCCCTGGGCACTCCCCAGTGAGAACAAAGAGCGTCGCTGAAACGGAGCAGCAGCATTCACAGAGACCTTCTGTAGGGCCTTGGGAAATTCCCTCCTTCAAGCTACTGAAACCCAGGGGCAATAATTAACCATGCTAAGTGTTGCACTCTGATTGTAGCTGAGTGCCCTTCAAGGGCTGCATGTATGTTAAAAATATTTGTGTTTTAAGGCTCTTTCTTGAAGCATACATTTGCTTACATTTTGCTTTCAGCTGGAGGGATGAAAATTTTACCTTGAAAGATGCACAGGAAAAGTAACCTGAATTAGCTAAAACTGCAAATGGAAAAAGGATTTAAATTAAAGGAGTGCAGGCCTGTTCCTCAGAGCAAGGGAGCCCCTGGGGCTGGTAGTGGACAACAGGAGGCTGCATTCCTGCAGCTGGAGAGGCAATGTAGCTTGGTGCCATGGCTCATGGCAGCTGTAATAGGGTGAAACTGCAGAAAGGAGTGAGCAGGGAAAACCCCAGCTCACTTCTGACAGGACTGGAAAGTCCTGTTTGGAAAATTGAACAAGGAGACAGTCCTGGGAAAATTTGAGGGCTGGAGCAAGGTGAGGGCAGGCAGTCAAACCTCCAGGGTGTCAGAGCGAGTTCCTGTTTCAACCTCTCTGGACTTCTTGCATTATGGCCTGATAAATGTGTCAGCATTTAAAGGGAGCCTTTTGGTCTTGACAATGCTTCAGAGAGCTATCTGAAGGGACAGGGAGGTGAACAATGCCAGAGCTGTGACAGGCAGTTGCTGAGGCTGTCTGGTGGCATGTGCTGTTCTGACTGGCATGAGGGGACAGGGCCTTCCTGCTCACTCATCCCTTGGGATACTGTGCAGTTCTCATTCTCCAGCAAAGCACTGGAGCTGGGAGCACAGAAATTCTGGAAAAATCCCTTCCTCCTGTCACCTGAAGTGAGGGCAGCCTTTCGTCCAGGGAGAGATTCTTCTCTGCCACCTCTGCACTCTGTTTTGCAATTCTTTCTTCAAGGAACAACCAGATGCTTCATTATTTTCAAAGCTCATTTTCTACAGAAAAACTATCTGTGCTGGGCCTCTGCCTGGCCCAGAGTCCACCACCATTGAAAATTTCCCATTAAAACAAGTCACAAATGCCACTTGTCCTCATCCTTGGAGATCATGGTGTCTTCCCTTGGGTTTTGTTGCTGGTTTCACTTTTTTCTTTCCTCACTCAACCATCTTGCTCATCCGGATCTGAACTGAAGCTGTGAAGCAAAGCTGTGAAGCAAAGCCAGCAGCAGCGGGGCTGCCATTCTGGTGGCCTGGTGGCCTTACTGCCTTCTTCTGCATCAAGTCCTGCTGGGGCAGGCAGGTACGTGTGTCCACCAGAGCTGGTGCAGGACATGTGGTTGGTTAACACTGTCTGTTGGCCCCTGCCTGGATCTATAGTTTCTCTTGCGGTGTAAAACGCTAAGTACTCAAATAGAGAGCCCCTTCCTAATGTCAAAAGGCTGAAAGAGGAGGAGGAAGGCAGTAAAAGTTAAGGCCTCTAAGTTTGGACTGTGGCCCCTTGTGATGTCCAAGCCCATCAGCAATCAGACAGGCAGTCAGCTCCTTGGGCTGCCCATCCCACCTCTCTTTGTTGAGGGAGCGGAGACACCTACATCCATGTGTCAAACAGGTCACACGGACCAAAGTGTGTGCAAGGAGGAACATAACCTAAGAGCAGCAGAACAAGCAGATGGGGAGGATGGTGAAAGGTTTCTGCTCATGACTGTACAGGTCATGCTGATGCTGTAGCCAGTGGGAGAAAGCAGCTTCCCTGTGCGTGTCTCCAGGTGCAGGGTTGCCTTTTGCGCTTGCTTTTTACACTTTACAAAGCTGCAGTGAATGGAAGAGAGGGGTTCCAAATTACTGGGGGAAAAATCAGGCCTTGGGCTCTGCTGTCCAGTGTCACCTCCCTGGAGATCTCTATTTTATCTGTCACCACCATAAGGTTCTTGAGAAGTCTGGGACTGATGCTAAGAAGGGTGAAAGGCAGGAGAGCAGAGACTGAAGGTGGCCTCTTGCTTGTGATTATGGTGAGAAAGGTCTGCAGCGAGCTGGAATGAAAGCAGGAAGAGGAGGGTGTGGGAGGAAATGGGGAGTTCTGTTCTTTGTGTGCAGTATAAGGAAGTATGGGAATATCCTTGCAGGATTTTCAGAGATTTACAAGAATGGGCAGCAGAGAAAGGCTGGGGAAAAAAAAATGTAACCTCATGCTGTGTAATGACAGGTGAATGACTGGTGTTGCAGGTGAAGAGGGAGGGGGGACCTGCGGAAAGGGAGGAAAGGAAAAAAGAACAAGCAGAGGCAGATATGAGTGCCAAGGGCAGTAAGAGCAGAGGACACAGGCATGTCAGTTATAAAACTAAATCTGAACTTCACAGGACCTTGATCTACAGCAGCATGGCTGCTCTTGAAGCTTGCAGACACACACAAGGCAGTTGGAAAAGGTGCTTGTGAGAGAACATTGGACCAGTATGGGGAGGCACTGGCAGTAGAAGCAAGAACAAGCTAATGTGCTCTGCAAAAGCAGCTGTACTGTCTGAATAAGGAAAAAGTGATGCTGGAAGAATAAACGCATATGGAGTTCTTGCTCCATGCCCAACAAATGGGACCATGCAACATATCTGCCAGAATGCTGAGAAGACCTCATGAAGGCAGATTATCACCAGAAACACTCTCAGGAGATCTTTCTAAAGGTATAGGTGTGGAAAGGGCAGAGACAGTGGACATGCAGCCATTAAGAGCACATGTTCGAAACTAGGGGTGCAGGACTGTCCTACAGTGGACAATCTTGCTATATAATGAAGTGAACAGGTAAAGCTCTGCACTGAGTAACTCGCATTAGCAACGCACAAATACACAACATGCCCCAGCTTATTTTGCTAACAAACACATATTCTCACATTAATCTCCATCCTACTTGCTTTACCTGTGGTTCCTCTGCATATGTTACATGGTTACTTTTGCATGACTGGTGGAGGCAAACAGTAGCAAACCCAGCATGTGGTATTTGGGCAATGATTTGTTTAGCTGCAGAACTTCCTCGTACAGTAAAACATTTATTTAATTTATTAAGTCATTGCAGAATTCTTGCAAGATTATAGCAGTGCCTTCCTAGATACTGTTTGTGTAAATATTGCAATGGACAGCAGAGAACGTACCACTGCCTCTGAAACTACTAGACCAGCCTGGTACTACTGATAACTGCATTTTTCTCCGTCCCTCTGGCGTTCAAATGAGAAGTATTTGCATTCAGATGGTATCTATTTAAGTATTTGCATAGCAGGTCCAGCCGTGTACCCAAGCACTTTCAGAGCACTGATGGCTGTAGCTGGTGAATGCCTCTGCAGGACCTTGACAGCATTTCCAGCCCATCTTGAAATGGGAAACTGAGTGGAGCATTGCTGTTTCTACTTCCAGACATGGAATCACTTGAGATTCTTTGCTGTAGCAGCAAGTGAACAAACCCCCTCAATCTCTACTCCCAGCTCAGATTTAGTGGTTGGTCAGAGTGTAGGGTGAGTTCGCAACAAGAAGGGGTTTTGGCAGATTCTCACCCCGCCCCGCACCTGGAAAACTTTGCAGGTTTGCAATGCAGATGTGGCCGTCTGCCAGAAGGAACTTTCAGCACATACACCTGGGTTACGCTTATGCAATTAGAGGGGAAGGGAAATAAAAATGACTCAGGATGACAATTTTATATAAAACTTTCCACAATGGCCTTTGGCTCCCATGCAAATTAGGAAGCACCCAGCCAGCTGTGGGGTTCTTCCTCATACCAGTGAGCCCTCCTTAGAGCAGGTCATGTGTCAGAAACCCCTTGCGAAGAGCAGGGTAGAAAAAGGAATGGGTGTTCCTGTGCAACCCGGGGCCATGGCATTCTCCAGCAGCCTGAGCTAGGCCAGGTGCCAGCAGCACATAAGTCCCCTGGCCAACATACTTGGCAGAACTCCAGCCTGCGTCAGCAGCATTGCTGCTCCCTGTTCCCATCCACGGGGTACAGCACAGAAGAAACAGGGCATGGTCACCCCTCACACAGCTCATCCTTTACCCCGACACGCAACAGGCTAAAATTTGTGTCTGAAAGTACTCCTGTGCTGTGATGTGCTGCCAGCAGAAAATGAAGTGTAGGAAAGGACTTGAACAAAGTGACTCTGTTTCCCTGAATGCTGGAGAGAAACCTGAGGAATAACTTAAGGGGATTAAAGCCACATCCTTTACTGCTATGAATTGGACAAGAATAGCTGTAGCTCCTGCAGTGGGGAAGCTGGGAGGCCCCCTACCTGAATTTCAGGGGTGGAAACACCCTGGGAGTGTTCCCTCTTCCCATGGAAATCCCCTTCGGAAATTCCAAAGGTGTCAGAGTTCCAGCTGGAACTGGGCCAGGAGATAAACAAGAGGTGAGCAGACACAGGGTTGTGCTGCAAACCTCCAGCCTCCTGGAAAAAACTGCCAAGTACTGGAGCTGGAACAAAAGGTGCTATGAGGGCAGAAGTGGTCAGGTGCTGCCACAAACAGCCTAAAAAACCCCGCTCTAGTGGGCGGGGAGCCTGGTGCTGGGTGACAGAGGGGGAATCCCGGCCCCACAGCCCGCCTGCTGCAATGGGTGCAGGAAACAACACCTACGTCTGCCTCCAAAATTAGCTGCAGCAGAAGGGCTGAGAGCTGCAAGCTGCTCAGATGTCTTATCACTGCTGAGGTGAACTACCTAAAACCCCTGAGACCGTGACCCCATTGGTCTACTAGGTGGTAAATGTTTCTTAAAAAGCAAACCAGGCAGGTTCCCATGATCTCAGGACAAGGAGGTGAGCAATGAACCATTCCACAGACTAGGTACAGTAATCTGACTTTTTTTTAATAAATACATATCTCACATGTACCAAAATAATTATAAACAAAAAATGTACAGTATTTACACAATATACAATTGCTAAAAAGTGTAGCAATTATGACACACATGGTGTGAAACACACTGTTTCCAATGCCCACAGTTAACATTATTGCTACTTTCTCTTATGAGCCAGGAGGTCACCAGTCCCTTGGTCCGACTCCTCCACTTGGAACGCCCCACTGAGAGCACTGACCCCGACCTGAGGTCAGTCAGAAACGCCAGGAACTGCCACCAGCCCAACGCAAATTAACACACAGGCTCTGAGAAGAAGGGGTGTTGGTATGAGTCCACCTTGCCATGAAAGTACACGTGTTCCTTGCAGTACTTAATGCCACAAGCAAGCTCCCTGTAATGAGCAGGTTGGATGTGTAGTCTGTTACCTTTGTAGGGCTGAGAAAATGGGCTACATGGCTCTTTATCAGGTGGCGTGAATAATCACAGATCTCTACTGATGTTACATATCCCACTCCTGTATTTAAACACGGGGCAGATCCTGGAACTGTCTTGTTAAAGTTATGAGCTCCTTCTCCTTGCTGGGCAGTGTAGTATTTCCTTCCTGTTTTTTCTCTCCACATTGCGACTTTCTTTTTAAATGAAGAAAGTCAGTCCTTTTTCTATACATAGGTATATAGTCACTTCACAGAAAGCTCTGCTTTAAAATGCCAGCTGTCGTCCTCCAATAAGGCAGTCATCATATATAAGCTACAAGAAAAAAAACAAAAGCTGTTAATGCAAAAATCTTACTGAAAATACTGTATCCACTCTGGGACAACAGCCAAATTCTGCATGCCCAGACTTCAGCAGTGTATACAGTTTTTACACCAAAATGGTTACTTTTGCCATTTAACAGCACTCAGAATGTTAGAAAAACAAAGGCTGGGGAAGAGGAAACCGCCCATTAACTTGAATTTTATCTCATGAGGTTCTCTGTCAGCCACAGAATGGTGTGCAGAGAACCATGTTGCATGAAGTTAACCTCCATTCCCTCCTGTTATTTTTTTACTTTTTATTCTTACTCTGTTTATATGCTTGCCCCACTTGCCATTTTGCTCACTGCTGACAGCATGACCTTATTTATACATGCCTGTTATACTGCAAGAGGTTACTGGGGCATGTTGTCAGAGCAGCAGCAACAAAAAAACCTACACAAGACAGGATTTTCCCATTCTCTTGAAAAGAAGCAAACAGTTACTTACTTCATCCTCTGTGAATTCAGGTTCTGATTCACTGCTCTCCTCATCCTCACTTTCTGGCAACATCTGCAGGTCAGCTGTGGTCAGCTGCTTCAGCTTTTCCTGTATGCTTGAGTTGTCTCTTCCCCATGTGAGCTGATAGGGGGAATAGCCCTGATAGGTCACTTTGTTCACATCTGCCCCGTGTTTCAGAAGAAGCGACACCAGGTCTGAATTCTGCAGATCAACAGCCAAATGTAGTGCTGTTCTGCCATTGCACGGCTCCTGTGTGAAAATAACATAAGGTCTGGCATGTTAGGAGAGGTAGAGCCGCTGCCAGATCTGTTGATTCTTAAGACTACACAGCCCCACTCAGTTAAAGTCATGGTACACATTACATACCTGTGCATTTACATCTGCTCCCAAGGACAGCAGATACTCGACAATAGCCAGGTATCCTTGAATGGATGCCAAATGAAGACACGTATGTCCTGCAAAACACAAACAAAGGGAAAATCTGAGTAAGTCTAACTCAATGCCTCATCATTTCTTAAAAGTCAAGATGATAGGCCAGGATGATACTAAATTTGCAATTCATCCATGGCAAAAGGGTGTTTTCCGGAAGAGCTTTCCAGCTTCCAGTGAGCATGAATAACGAGGTTGGATTTCAAAAAGATTTCTTAGGGGTTTTATTCCAGTGCTTGACTGCAACTTATTACAACCAAAAAAAGAAGGAGCATGGCAAAAGTACTCACTAAAAATGCAAAATTCAAAGCCATGAGAGACAATAATCGACACTGAGGAGGCCTATAAGACAGTGGTGTTTTAAAGAAGTCACACACTGCTGTGTGCTTAGGGCTCCTCAACTCTCAAATGGTCATAATAATCCTTCTCCACCTCTCCAGAGATCTTTGAGATCTACAGGACACCAACCCTACCCTCAGTGCAGCACATCAAGATAAACTGTTTAGCAGTGTGCCTGTACCTTTGTAGTTGGTTGCCTGCAGGACAGCGAGGAGGTGGTGTGGCTGGCAGTACTGCGTGAGGACGCTGACGCTCCTAAGGGAGCCCTGCTGGCAGGCAATGTGCAGGGGGGTGTTTCCTCGGAAGTCCCTGACTTCCAGGTCGCATCCAGCCTTCAGAAGATGCTCAGCAATTTCAGGCTGATCAGTTATCACTGCCAGGTGAAGAGGAGTCTGCACGAAAGAGAGGAAAAGCAGCCTGTAAATTACAGTGCAAACTTGCAGCAACATCTGGACAAGCAGACCTCTCCACCGCTTGGAGATTTGTGCCACCAGCTAAAAGCACACTCGATAAACTCAATTCTTTTTGCTTCCCAAGATATTGTATAGCTGCCCTTTCCTCTGGAAGTGATGAACTTAGGGCTCTCTGGACACCGAACAGTCCATCTATATGAAGTGTATCATTAACATCTCAATAAAGAGGGATGCAATTCATTGCATCATATTTGAAAAATGTGGGTGTTAAATGCCACTCTTTCAGGGGAGAGGAAGCATTGTACTAACACCGGCTGGAGCCAGCTGGGGACTTTCCCGAATGCAGGCTTTGATTTAAGTAGGCTTTGATTCAATTGATTCCATCAATTAAAACAAACAAAAAAAAAATTAAAAGGACTTTTTTGGGGGAATTCCCCAGAGGCCTTGTGTGGGGGTAGCTGGGGCTGATCCGGATTTGGGGCTGTGGAGGTGAAAGTACCTGGTTGAGGTTGTTCTGGAAGTTCAGGAAAGCCCGGTCGCCGGCTGCCTGTTGGATCACCTCCAGGCTCAGGGCTTTTTCCTCGTGAATAATTGCCAAATGGAGAAAACTACACGGGAAAAAAAAAGAATAATTAAGCGACACACGTTAAAACCCCCTAATGCCACGTTAGCCCCCCCAAATCCCTGCGGCGGGCCCGGGGCAGGGTCACGCGCGGGTGTCGCAAGCCGGGGCTTTCGGCGCGGCCGGGGCTTTCCGCGGCCCGGGAGCCGCCTCTCCCTGGCGCCACTCCAGGGACTTTCCGCCCTCCCTCCCTTCCCTTCCTCCCGCCGCGGCGCGGCCCAGCCCGGCGCCTCCCCGCCGGCAGCACGTCCTGCCCCGTCCCGGTCGTGCCGTGTCCCCCATCGTGTGCGAGCCACCCCTGCCCCGTTTCGACCCCCACTTACGTGTCCCCGTCCTCCGTCAGCTGCTGTGCCCAGGCGGGCGGCTCGCGGGGCTGTAGCCGTATGTCCTCCAGCTCCTTCACCAGCTGCCGGTACTCCTCCTCCTTCATGGAGTCCAAGCCACTGTCGTGGCGATCGTCGAGCGGGAACCCGCCCTGACGGTCCTTCTTGGGGTGCTCGTAGCCCTCCATGGCGGGCGGCTCGGCGGCGCGGCGGGCGCTGATCATGGCGACGGAGCTGCGGGCGCTGCGAGTGAGCGGTAGTGGCGGCGCCGCCTCGCATATACACCGCGGCCAGGGGATTTCTGCGAGGGAGGAGCCGCCGAGGACGGGAATTTCCAGCCAGTCAAAGCCCGACCGACGGGTCTGGTCCTGCTCGGCGCCGCCGGCACTGGCAGGGAGGGCGGAGCAGCTGGGGCCGCCCAGAAGGGGCGTCGGAGGGGAGGGGAGGAAAGATGTCGGCGCGAGAGGGAACTTGGCGTTTTTCCAGGGGGGAAGTACTCGCCTCTCCGGCGTCCCCGTCGGTAGTTCCCTGCCGCACCCCGGGGGGATTTCCCTTCCCTTCCCTGCCCTGCCCGGTCCTGAGGCTCCAGGTGCCCCCTTCCCGGCGGGCAGGGGGTGTGTGCACCGCTGCGGGGTCTCACTGCACGCTCTGGGGACCCCTTGAACGCCCCTCACCAGCTGGGCACTGCCGGCCCTGATTGCACCCTGCGTCCACCGACTTTCTATAAGTTCGGTAAGAGGGGCTGTGGAATCACAAAATAATAGAATAATTTGGGTTGGAAGGATTCTCTAAAGGCCCACTAGTCCAACCCCCCTGCCATCAGCAGGGTCATCTTCAGCTGTATCAGGTTGCTCAGAGCCCAGTCCAGTCTGACCTTGAATGTTTCCAGGTATCAGGCATCCACCACCTCTCTGGGCAACCTGTGACAACCTGTGACCTTCACCACCCTCATTGTAAAAAATGATATCTAATATTTAATTATATCTAATCTAAATTGACCTTCCTATTTAAAACCCTTATCCCTTGTCCTATTGCAACAGGCCCTGCTAAGAAGCCTGTCCCCATCTTTTTTATAGGCTCCCTTCGAACACTGCAAGACCACAGTAAGGTTTCCTAAGGTGACTCTGGCCAGAAGCCCAGGCCGTAAGCATTAGTACTCTTAGAAGCTCCTCTCTCCCACTATCTGCACAACGGCAGATCCCTGAGCCTGTGAGGATCTTTTTGAGGTCTGATGAGAGGGACTCTTAGGAGTCATTAACCAGTGCTCATCTAACGATCAGTAATAAGCTTTGTAGCCAGCCCAGGGTGGCGAAGTCATGCTAAAATTTCAGGGAACCAAATACCACCAGAGAATGCTGAGGCTGCTACTGCATCTGCCCTGCTTGAGGGAGGGTGGTGTTATCACTTTTTGGAGAGATTGAGGTAGTATTGCAGATGATGGACGTTTATGCTGTCACAACACCTGCAAGTGTGCAGGTGCTGCCTCAGCGTTTAGAGGATTTTGCATCTCTGCAGTGGAAATTTTCACTTTGTTTCAGTGCTGTGGGATCAGTGCTGTGAGAATTCTGAGCCACTCCTGTACATCCAGTTCTAGTCCAGGACTAGATAGGCCTCTTTCAAAGGGTACATATCCATAATGGAACAAACAAAGAAATTACATCTTTGACTGTTATTACTTTCTCTGCCCATTCCTAGTGACTCTGCTCCTTTTTACTGCTGTTGTGCCATCTGTGGGTAATGAAAACTGGATAAATGCAGGCTCCGACATGGATAAAAGACATTGTCTGCAGAGCTGAGAGCACTGAATTTTTCCCTGGTGAATTTTTCCTTTGACTTCTCAGATGTAGGGGATTCCCATGAAGAATTTTTCTTCCCTTGCAACTATTGCTGACCTCACTGAGTAATAATGTCTGCGCTTTTTTTTCCTTTTGTCATTTTCCCATGGGATGGCATCCCTTTGAACAAGAACTTATGAGAAAATCCAAAGATGAAAGGATTGAAGAGCTAGAGGAAAAGGAGAATGCCTGGCTTTCTCTGAGCAGATGTTCCTAATTTTCAGCCCAGCTGTGCCATACCTGGACTTTTTTTCAGTGTTTATCACTTGGCCTGGGACAATCCAGTGGTGCTTTTGGGCATGTTTAGAAAAAAGCCATACAACTCTTTCTGTTATAGGTTAAGGGTTATGAAAGTTTTGTGAGTTTTTTGAAACAGTTTCCCCTTTTTAACATAAATTGGCAGGGGAAATTTAATTAACAAATGAATATCTTCCTACCTGCTTCTCTGCAAAAAAGGGAGGATGAGAGTTGGAAAGCAATGTCTTGCTCTGTCTAGCAGGGGAATTGAGCCCAGTGAGGACCATGCTGTCTGCAGTTGGGATTTTGCTAGAACCACACAGAAATTAAACTTTAAAAGTTCTGTCCTCACTGTGACGGCTGGAAACTGAGTTCAGCAAAGGGAATTCTTTGCTTCCTTCCATAAATGACCTCCAGGTGCTCTCGCAGGCTACCATAGGGCTATTTTTAGCAATCATTTGCCAGCAACAACCTCTTTTCAGAGGCACATGAGATACTTTTATTCTGTGTGTGTTTAAGCTTGGTGATACTGCAGCTAGTTATAGGTAGCAGAAAGGTGATCAAAAATGTTTTCTGAATGGAAAGTCATGCCAAGGCCAGTCCACTTCCTGCCCCAGGGAGATGCTGCTGCTCTGCAGCCTGGCCATAAGCATCACAGGGGGCCCCAGACCCCTGAGTATTAGGCAGACAAAGCAAGGCTTGAGAAGGGATTTAGCCCTAAACCCTGGTCCATATATAAAGTAGCAACCAGCTGAAGATGCAGGGGCAAGTGGAACCCTCATTAACAAATAAAGCTGCTGTCTCCTCTGTAACTCCTCACAGCTACCACAGTTGTTGTATATTTGCCTAAGGGGATGGCATGTAGAAGATAGCATAAATCAAAGATTTTGGAGTGGTGATGAAGGTCATCGATGCTGGTTTTGTGCTGCTGAAGTACTGTCTTTTTTTCTAAATTACTACATTCTAGCAGTTCTTCTATACAATTTTCTACATGGTCCACAAGAGAAGAAGAATAGGAAGAAACAAATTCAGCTTTTTGGATATAGAGTGGAGCCTATTGCAACTCCAGTTTCCTATGTGGCCTCTAACTCGGGTGTTGCAGTTCTGAGAGGCTCAAACATGCCCCCCAGGGGATGGAGTGGCTGTACCTATCCAGGGACAGGGGTTGGCCCTGCTGAAACAGGAGGAAAACTTCTTGAATGCTGCAGTCATCTGTGCCAGCCTGAACCCTCTTTTTCTGCTTGTGTATTCTGGTTTAATACCTCTGCTATGCCTGCATTAATTTCACAGGAGCGTTTTTTGTGCTCTTCAGTTTGAGAGGAGATTAATGTTCTCTTCGTTTTTTATTCAAGATTATTTTAACAGTCTCTGCTGCCTGGTCCAGCAGGCACTTCAGGACCAAGGGACTACCTGAAAGTCACTTTAAAAACGTAAAAGGCTGTAACCACGGGAGGTGGATTTGCACCTGATACCTAAGAGCTAGGTTTTGCAAAAGCCTCCTCTACTCTGTATGCCCTGAGAACGCAATTGTCAAGTCTGTGGGGCTGCAGGGATGTAATGTTTGTTTTTATTCTACCTTGCAGAAAGCAGCTGGCAGGGCTCCGAGAAGCAGCCTTGAGTGCCTGAATACTGAAAAGGGGCAGTAGGGTTTTAATTAGTTTTTAAAGTACATGAAGGATTCTCGTGCTCCTTCCTCCAGCAAACACATTAAACTGTAATTTCCTGATTGCCACACTAATCATGAGAACTGTCTTGTGCTGTTGATTTACCAGAGTTGGTCCCTCAACTTCATCCTTTTGTGATTGCTGCTGCAGATACCTATTAACTGTTTCCTCTTATTAAATCTCGAGGACTGTGCATGGCTCGCAGTAAATATACCAGGAAAGGTAGTTAACAACATCCAGCAAGATCTTGGCCCAGGCTGTTAAAACCAAAAGCAAAGCAAATCAGCGTAGTAGACCTGCTGTCTGTACATGCACATGCATGTGCAGCTACCTCTTTGGAATAGGACTCTGGTTTGTTGCTCCAGAAGTCTGTGAACTTTGCTAGTGCGAGGGAAGCCAGGGGATGCTTAATGTTGTCATTCTGATAACATTTTGCAGTTAAAATCCACATATCTCAGTCTCCAATTTACAGCTGCTATAGAGATAAGAACCGTGCAGCTCTGAACAATTAGTCCAGTGGTAAACAAGGAACACATATTTCCCTCCAGATGAGTTACTAATCTGAAAGCTTTTAAAAAACAGCCAAATAAGAGGAAGGAAAGTTACGCAAAGTCACTTTTTGTTAGCCAGGATGAGGGCTGATGATGTTACATGTGCTATGTGGCCTGAATCCCTACCTCCTCAAAATTTTTCATCAGAGGCAGATCCTCCAGTCACATACTCCAACAAGCTGAATGGTGGATGCAGTAGGAAGCATATCTCCACCTTATTTGAGTTGATGTAATATCCAAGCAAATAGTGCACGGGGTAATTTTTGGCACATAAAGCCAAGATCCAAATTAGGGCATTTAGAATCCTACCCATGTCCCACAGCCACAAAATAGCGTTAGCTGGGGTGTTCTGATCAGAGTCTAATGGATCTAGATTCCTGGTTGGCTACTCTAGTCTGTTTTTATTTTTTGACTGCAACTTATTTTTGGCATCTCTTAAACTGGTGAATCGCATCCCTGGGAAGATCTGCGTTTCTCTGCATGAACTATGAGCTGTTTGTATATCAGCTGGTTGCATTTCTGAGTATCCTTAGGGATGAGATGTACTGTATCAGTTTAAACTGCTTTTATTGTTATGCCTTAAGGGTAAATATAAGTCAAGTCATTTGAAATTGGCTACCACTTGGATGATAAGTTTTATCTGGTGTCATTCCCATTTCTCATGTGGAAGCTTTGCTAAAGCATGTTGCTCAAAAAGCTTTAAACTGATGCTTGCTGCCTGATGCAGTGAAGCTTGCTGCCACATGTGTTTCATGTAGGAAAAAAGTCTTGTGCAGGAGGAAGTAAAGGCAGATCTCTTGAGCTTGCTGTACAACTTTCCCTCTGGCAATGACATTGCTCCCCATCAGTATGGCCCCCTCCATGGGTGCAGACAGAGTGGAAGCACCTGATGGGGAAAATATGAACTGGGAGGATGCTAATAATTAAAAAGGGCCGTTCCCCCTACAGGCAGCTGTGATATTTGGTAATGTTACAGTCTCTAGTTCTTCCCAGCGAGTGGGAATATTGCAAAGGTGGAGAGAGTGGCAGAGTGGGACCATGCAGAAAACAGAGCCAGTGAGGATTCGGGAGGGGTAGATCAACCTGGCACAATGTGAGCATTCTCAGCCAGCAGGGCTGTGCCAAACAGGGAGCTACTTTCCTTTCTGTTTGGATTACGGATACAGAATTTCAAAACTAGATCTAGATATAAATTTCTCTGTGGTACTGGATGGTATTTTGAGCAAACTAAGAACCTGAACTGAATTATTCTGGGCCGTTCGAGCCAGGCTGCACATGGGCAGTGAAAGCTGTCTATCTCAGCACATGCTTTGCTCTCAACCTCTACATGTTCCTGTGCAACCTTTGTGCCTAAACTTGGTGGGTGCAAATAATCGTGGATAAAGGTAAAAATTCAGCACACTGCTGTTCTGTACACACTGGGAGCCCGGTGCAGTAGACAGGCGCATGGGAAGC